TCCTCCTGCCTCAGGCTCCTGAGTATTGGGATTACAAATGTGCGCAAAAATAAGGATATTTAAAAGCAAATTAAATGATTGATCATAAATTAATATAATTAGAAATTAATAATGTAACAAGCAAAAATTGTGACTTCTAATAATTAGTGTGCTGAAGATACATTTTACAATACTAATATAAGTATAAAAATCTAGTAAAATTCTAAATCATAATTTTTTTCTGGTGGTTCCTAGGGCTGTGTGTATGCTAGGCAAATGCTTTACCACTGAGCTACACTCCCTGCCCCTTTCATATTTTATTTTGAGACAGTGTCTCACTATCTTTCCCATGCTGGTTGCAAATTCCTGAGCCTCCTACTTCAGCCTCCCCACTAGGTGGAAGTACACCTCTCTGGCCTTAAATCAGAATGAGTATTTTTTTCAAGCCGTTGATGGGATTCAGGAAGCACTATCCCAAAACACAGCATCCTTAACATTGGACAAATCAACAGAAGCAGGAAGGTCTTACAATTTTCTCCCCAGTCTCCTGTGAAGCAGGCCATAAAATCTAAAAAGGTCACTCTGTGACTTTTCTTGACTTTCCCTCAGTTAGGAACACACTGCCACATATGGACACAGAAAAGATTCCGATCAAACAGGCATTATTAATTTCCCTCCAGTTTATTACCAGTAGAGAATATCCTTTTTGTCTTCCCATCATCTATAAAAATACTTTCTATTTCTTTGGCCTTTCATCTCTAAAGGTTTCTGTGGCACAGGAGACTTTTATTAAATAACAGGTATGTTTATTTGTTATGGAGATCTTTTGTTATGGAGGTCTCAGCTATAAACACTGCAATGGGGGAGGAAAAGATTACCTTTTTTGCCACATGCTTTGCAGGTAATTTTGAAATGTAGCCAGAGTTCAAAAACAGTAAGAAATCGTTCAAATAAAACTTTTGAAAGTGAAAAAAAATTGTTATAAAGAAATGAGTAAAGGCCAACCATGGTGACCCATGCCTGTACACCTAGCACTCTGGGAGGCAAAATGACTGCAAGTTCAAGGCCCGCCTGGGCAACTTAGTGAGACCTTTTAAAAAATAAAAGTGCGGGGAAGTAGCCCAGTGTGCAGGCCATGGGTTCAACACTCAGTACAGCCAAAAGCAGAAAAAAGAAGACAAGTAGAAAGCAAAAAAGGACACAAGCACAGACAAATTTTAAAGTGAGAAAAACTAATACAAATAAACCTTAACAATTCTTTAAATAAACAAAATAGCTAAGATTTAGCAAAACTCAGTAGAACTTAAATGAGATAGTTCATAACAGAAATGTAACAAATAAGACAAACTGTCTCACAATTAGACATGAAAATAACTTTTTAAATTCATAAACAAATGATTTTCTGTAGTAACTGTGACATCAAAATCACAATGAATGAGCTAAAACTAAATCAGATGTGAAAATAATGATCTAAGAATTACCCTCCTTAAAGGCTTCAACCAGGATGATTTAACAATAGATTGCTTCAAACTTGAAACTCCCCTTATGATACCAAAACAAAAAAAGCTCTGCAGGTGAATTCCTTGCCAGACTAGCAAACCACTGAAACCTGTAAATCCTGGAACAGCAGTAGGCACAGGAGAAGGGCCACTCCCATATATACACCCAACCCACATAAGAAAAGCACAAGCTCCCAGGATGGCCTCAAGCAGCAGTGATTTTCAAAGCTACCCAAGTGCTTACCAAGCACAAGCCAAGGTTAAGAACTATTAACTATTGTTCTCTTATTATCGTGTTAGGAAATTTCGCTTTTTCATAAAATAAAAAAGGAACCACTACTACAGAATTATTTCATTCACTAATTATGATTTAGACAACATAAGTAACATACAATAAAATAGTCTAATCTGTGACGGTCATAAACTACCTGCACACACACAAAAATTTGCATTTTCCTCTCAGATGCAAACACAGCCTCAAATTAGAAAATAAGAGCAAATATGTTATGATAGTCTCATACCATGCCTACCATATTACTTTTTAAATGCAAAGGTAATTTTTTAACATGATTACAAAGCATCTGCTCTAAAACCACAGCCTAAACAGCCAACATTATATTTAATTAAACTGTGACTACCATAATCAAGACCAGAACAATAATGTTTACTGCCAGAAAATTATTTAATATTGGTTTTAGAAGTTCTGGACAAATGGAAAAACATATAAAGTAAAAATATTAGCAAAAAAGACAAAAAAATTGTCATCATGGGTAGAGAAAATTATGGTACAGGCAAAAGCTGAAAAACTAAGACTAAATAAAATATTTCAAGTATAACCACAAGTGAATCAAAAGCATTTTTCAGCAATAGCAACAACCAGTAAAAAATATTATGAAAGGTCTGGCACACATCTGTAACCTCAGCACTCAAGAGGCTGAGGCAGGAGGATCACCGTGAGTTTGAGGCCAGCCTGCGCTACACGGTGAGACCCTCAAAAAAAAAAAAAAAAGACTGTGAAGAACAAAATATGTTTCAATAGAATTAACTCTGTAATCCAGAAAAAAAAAAAAACCTCAAAATATTTCCTAGTAGGTACAGAAGAACTTGATTAAAAAGACATGTATATTCTGGATAACAGACTAAATTAATATTTCGCGTGGATATTTATTTATTTATTTTTGTAGCAAGGTCTCTCTGTGGTTCAGGCTAGCCTTGAAGTCATTATGTAGCTCAGGTTAGCCTTGAATTTGTGGGGATCCCGATTACAGACGTTGTACTCCCAGCTCAAGTGGATATTTCACTAGTATTTCAGAGAGCCTTTTAAGTAATTCTAAAATGAACCTGATAAACAATCAGAAGATGAGGGTACCCACTGCAGCATCTGTCACCCCACTAATGGCCAAGGTTGATTAGGCTGACCTGGCTGGTTTGGTGGATGTCCCCTCCCTCCCCCACCCCAACACTTAAGTCCCTTGGGAAGGGAGGAAGCTCATGTGTGCAAAGCTGCCTGCTCACCCAAGCAGCTACCCATGAAAGAGGAGGACCATTTTTTCCGGCAAGAGTATACTAGTAGTTGCACTCCCCTGTTGAAACCTCCAAAAAAGCTCCTACACAATAGGCCTCTAAAAGATAAGTATAAAAACTGAGGCAATAAAGGAGACCTAGGCTCTCTCAGATTTTATACATAACACCTCAAATATTAAAATGACACAATACATCAGAGTAACAAGACACTAATATGCAGGTGGAAAAGAATTGATGGTCTGGAAATAGATGCTATTGAAGTACATGAACCTAACACATAATGAAATAGCAATCACACATCACTAAGCAAAAAAAGAAAAATTTGGAAAAGCATGAGTTTATATCCCCATCTAAAACAAATTATAGTCCAGGACAAATACCAGACAGATCGTTAGCTTTAATAAAACAAATTAACCTCATTAACACAAAAAAAAAAAAAAAGAAAAAAAAAGGCTTGTGAAAGCCTCAGATGGAAAAGACGACATTATACTTAGGGGCAAAAAAAAAAAAAAAAAAAGAAAGAAAAGACTAAAATTTGACTTAAAAAATAAGATGTAAATCCAATATGAACTAAAATATAAATAAAAAGCAAACATACTAGTGAAAAAATTTTAGGATACATGACAAAAGTTTATAAAAATTTTCAAAATAATTTTTTACGAATCCTAAAAGAAGTTGAGCATGGTGTCACTTAACTACAGCACTTTCTGAGCCAGAGACAGAATGATCACAAATTCTAGTCTATCCTAGACAACTTAGCAAGACCATGGTTCAAAATATAACTTATAAAACTTAAAATGAGCTAAGGGCTGGTAGTGGAGGCATATGCCTATACTCCCAGTGCTTGGGAGGCTGAGGCAGGAGGATCTTTATGAATTCAGGGCCAGCCTGGGCTACATAGTGAGTTCAAGGCCAGTCTAAACAACATAGCTTGCCTCAAAAACACACACAAAAAAAGTGGGGAAGGGGAGACATGGTAGCTCAATGTGAAGGTCCTAGGTTCAATCTACAGTACCAAAAGGAAAAAATAGGCATAGTGAAACCCTGTCTCAAAAAGACCAAAAATAAATAAATACATAAGTAAATAAATATAAATAATTTCATAAACAAGAAATCGGGAAAGAGCATCAACAAAATTCAAGAGTGGGTCAGCAAATAAAAAATATTCACTCTAAGAAATGAACGTAAACTAAAATTACAATATGACATCAATTTTGCATTTCTACTAAAGCAGACCCTTCATCATGGTTGGGGTTGTTAGGGTTAGAATTTGTCCAAACTCCTGGGCTCATGTCATCCCCCTGCCTCACAACTCACAAGTTGAGGGAAGTATAGGTATGCACCACTGCAGCTGGCTTCTGATGGAATTTTTTTTTTTTTTTTTTTTTTTTTTTTTGGTCTTTTTGAGACAGGGTCGCACTATGCAGTCCAGGCTGGCCTTGAGCTCATTTTGTAACCCAGGCTGGTCTCGAACTTGCAACGATCCTCCTGCCTCAGTCTCCCAAATGTTGGGATTATAGATAGGCATGCACCATCATGCCCAGATTGATGGAATTTTAAATAACTACAATACTTCTGAGACAATGTGGTGCTATGAGGAACCTCTCGGGAACTCCAAATCTGGCCATACAGCACAAAGAAAGGAATGAAAGTGGAACAAACTTAAATGAGCCAAGATGTTCTTATTATTATTGGGGAGAAAAACTAAAATGAGGAGCTCTAAAGAGTACTGAAAAGAAAAGGTTTGGGAAATCATGGTGCCTCTAGGAACTGCAAAGAATATTCAGACGCCTTTAGACACTTGATGGTTTGGGGATCATGCAACAGTAAAAAAAAAAGGTACATACTTAGGATACGCACTAATGTCAAGAGAAAATAACAAAGGCCTAACAATGGTTATATGTACCACAACTATGTTTTTCAACATGCATATTTATGAGTAGGCTTTTCCAAAAGACCGGGGATGAGAGGGACATACCACACAACATGGCAGCAGCGATGACAGCAGTTCTGGTGGAAGCGCGGCGAGGCTGCCGCACGCAGAAACGCTGGGAATGGGTCGGAGATGGCAGAAGCTGCTGGAGGAGGCCAGGAGGGGGGTACTCAGCAGAGCTTTGGGTAGGGGCAAAAGTGGGTAGAGGCCAGCATAGCTGTCTAGTGCTGCTCCTGAGACTCAATTGGGCCCCCTTGTGCTCACCCTTAAGGCTCAGGATCCCCTGGGCCAATAGCCAGATCCAGGTAGGAAAACGTGGGTCATGCATGATCCCTAAGGCACTCCGTAGTCAATTCCGGGCTTTAATGCCCCCAAAGGATCCTCCTTCCCTTGCAAATCAAAAGTTGCACTTTGGATGATCCGGAAGCACTTGGACGCCCTAGCGGCTGCAGTGCTTTCACAGGAAGTAGCTGAGGCGCCATGGAAAGCGCCTGGCAATCTCCGAGGCACTGCAAGGGCTCGGATGTCTAGCCGGGTGCGTTGTGAATCCCAGATCGCTGAGACTTCTCCAAACGGCTGGTGAGTCGCTGGTGAGTCGCAGTGGACGTAATCTTGTCTCGCCACGACACGGAAAAGGATACCAGATAGTTGGAAAGCTGCGGAAAACTTCCTAAAGTGCGGCAGTAGTGCGATCTACCCCTGTGGCCCTTAGGTAAGATCCCTTAAGGGACACAATTGCCCCGGGGAACTCAATGAGGTGGTTTGGAAGGGGCTCGGGGCCATGACTTTTAAAAAGCCCTTATTTTGGGTAGAGGATTGAAACTTGCAAAAGTAGAATTTTGTGGAACCTGTGTGGAGGTTTTCCTAGGGTTCATCCAGCCACTAAATTCCCCCCCCCCTCCTCCGCTCAGGCCCAGGTGTGGATGGAACAGTCTCCAGAGACTCGCTGATCACGTTCTTTAGTCTGCGGCATCGGCCAAGCACGCCACCGTTCGGTTTCTCAAAGATGGCTTCTCGAGATGGCGCCTACCGCCGCAATTACAAAAAGAGTTTCTCTTACTCCAAGAACTCTGAAACTGAGGATCCAAGTAAAAAGGAGGACTCAAAGGTCCAAAATAGGAGGGATTGGCATGAAGAACAAGGCCCTTCGATGATTCACCAGAGCATCTCGGGGAGAGAAATGGGGAGGTGTGCCCTTGGTGCAAAACCAAAAGTGGTAGACCGTCCTACCCCTGGCATGCCGCCAGCCAGGAATACAATCTCTTACCCTCAGAAACAGTCAGCTCCCAGGATGACTGGTTCTGTTGAGAAGAAAGTGGTTATAACTCCTGACACAATGCTCAGTGAAAAGCCACATGGTAACCAAAGGGTGCTCTTTTGTGAAAAATGCTCTTCGCCCCTCCAAATTGTGAATTGTAATAACTGCAAGTCACCAACCCTAAAGTCTAAACAAATGGTGGTGCTCGAGCATCCTTCTTCAAGAAGCTATTGGCATGACATCAATGCACTTGCAACACTTAGAATCTCTCAGGAAGAGCCATTCTCAGAGAGTCCCCCAGTAGTTTCAACGCTTTTGACCCACCAGAATGACTATAGCGTTCAACAGCCTAATTTGTACTATAGCCCGTGGAATGACTACACTAGCTCCTGGATCAAGAGTGTCAGGAATTCACACCTGGACTGTGGTGACAGCAGTATCACTACTACATTACAGGCTAAGAGGGGTAGCAGGAATTTTGTGGGTGCTTATTCCTACTCTGCAATGCACTCCCAAAATATGCCCAGAAAGACAAAGATGACAGAAAATGCATCCCAGAATTCCAGATCATTTCATTTCTCCGAAAGTTTAGAAGCAGAACTGAAGGAGAAAAACTATCAAGAGGAGACACTGTCATGGGCGAGTGGAGCACATGAGTATGGCTTCCAGCCGACTAGTCACTTGGAGCAGTCCAGCCCAGCAAAGGGTTTCATTGATTCCCACTGTCACTTGGACATGACGTATACCAAGCTGTCTTTCCAAGGGACCTTTGCCAAATTCAGAAAAATATATAAGTCCTTCCCTAAGGAATTTCAAGGTTGCATCACTGATTTCTGTGATCCTCGTACTCTAAAACATGGCCTATGGGAGGCGCTATTGAAAGAAGATCTGGTTTGGGGGGCCTTTGGCTGTCACCCTCATTTTGCACGTTACTACAATGACTATCAAGAAAGAAATATCCTGCGTGCCTTACAGCACCCGAAGGCTGTGGCATTTGGAGAAATAGGCTTGGATTACTCTCACAAGTGCAGCACACCTATCCCGGAGCAGTTCAGGGTATTTGAGAAACAACTGAAGCTGGCTGTATCTCTCAAGCTACCACTGTTGATCCACTGCCGCGACGCTGATGAAGATCTACTGGTCATCATGAAGAAACTAGTGCCCCCTGACTACAAGATCCACAGGCATTGCTTCACTGGCAGTTACCCAGTCATTGAGCCCTTGCTGCAGCATTTCCCCAACCTGTCGGTGGGCTTCACAGCAGTTATCACTTACAGTTCCGCCTGGCAGGCCCGGGATGCTGTGAAACAGATCCCACTGGACAGAATTCTCGTCGAAACTGATGCTCCATACTTTCTTCCTCATCAGGTTCCCCGAAGTTTATGCCAGTATTCCCACCCAGGTCTGGCTCTGTATACGGTGCGAGAGATTGCCAGAATCAAAGACCAGCCACTTTCCCATGTCTTAACCACCCTGCATGACAACACCAGTCGCCTCTACAATATTTAATCCAACAGGACAGGCAGGGGTCTTCCCATAAAGGGCAACCTGACTGCAAAACACACTGCATTTGAACTCTGCTTGTGTCCCAGGTCAAGTATGTGTTCAAAGTTCCAGGACAAGATGTCTTCGTAAAAACCTCTTCATAAGATTTCTGCTTCTGGTAGGATTGGGGTATGCTGGGAGGGGAAGAGGGCTGAAAGGGAATAGCCCTTGATGTTAAGTTCTTCTTCCAGCCAAAATGCTAGATGGTAAGTAAGAGTTCTCTGCAGCCCATTTTGGAGTGGTTGGTGAATAAAGCCACTCTCCTGGGTTTTTTTTACGTAATGTTAAACTTTAAAAGTGAGCAGGTGATTTGCTATTTATTCTCAAAGCGTATGTTATGGGAATTTTATAATCCATACTTTGTTGTTAAGTTCAGGAATTCAGTTGTTTTCAAATTGAGGGTTCTTATTTGTAAAGACAAAGAAAACTAACCTTTCATATGAAGGGAAGTTAATTTCAATAAGCAAAAACTAGTTATTATTAATGGCGTGGCAAGGGGCTGTGGAGGCCTTAGAGACATCTATGGTTGAGTCTTTGCCACTGAGGAGATGAGTCTTGAACCTGAACTCCTAACATCTCTGTAAATTAGTATGTAATAGTAGCATCTGTTCATTGAAGCTATCATTCTTCAAGTGCAAATGTATAGCACTTAGAAATACTGTTCTTCAGGAGGACTTAGAAAGCTTCAACAGGATAGAAAGAGAGCTTCAGCTGTCCACTTGGCAAACAGCAGTTTTCCCTGAGAATATGACTCACATTTTGGGAAAAACATTTGAGTTGTGAAATTTAACTTTGTACGCCAAAGCACACACCTAAATCTGAAGTCCCATGACTCGACAAGGCACGCATGCCATTTTAAAAATGAAAAATCTCTTACACTTGAAAACAGTCCCTGAAAACAGTCCCTGGAAATTGAGTACTACAGACTTCTCTGGTTTCCTCTGCACTCACATAGCTGGATCTCCAGAAAAAACAGCTGGCTCCTGACCACTTAGCTCTCACTCAGAAGTTACTTCCACAGAGAAGCCCTCCATGGCCACCAATCTAGGAGGGAAAAGACCCACCGGCTCCATCTGTTCTGAGCACAGCACTTAGCCCATGCCTCAGTTACTGTTGTTACTATATTTGTATGTTCATTGGTTATCTTGCTCCACTAGGTTGTCAGTTTACAAACTTGGCAGCCTTGTTTAGCACTTAATCCCTGCACATACTAGACTAGTGCCTGAAAGATAACAGGCACTAAACAAAAGATTTCTTAAATTCATTAACACCTGGGAGGTTAATAACAATATTAGGAGAGAGAACAATACTAGGAAAGGAATAGAGAAATAAGCCGTAATTCCAATACCCTTTTCTAACTCAAAAGGCAAAGATTAAAGGCATGCTATCTATCTATCTATCTATCTATCTATATATATATATATATATATATATATTATTGTTAGATGTCATACATAATGAAGAGAAAGACAAACTTAACTAGGAAACTGACAGTTCAGATTTCCTATAAATAAGACTGAGTGTATCATAGATTTCCCCTTTGTTGAGAATAAGATCTTCTGAAAAAGAAGAAAGTTTAGGTGTTCAAAAAAAATAAAAGCCATAATCCTTCATTTCCCTTCAGTACAACATAAGTTGTTAATGCAGACAAGGTGTGATTGGATGATACTTTTCAAGACAAACCTTGCAAACACTAAGCCAGTGTTTTAAGGTAAGCTTTTGCTATGTAACGTACATTTTAAAACAAACATTGCTTAAAAGTATGTCCCACAACACACAGAGGCCCTGAGCTTGTTTTAAATAATGGTCAAAAACAGGGCTCCATACACACATTTTGGGAAAATACTGAGCTGTACAAAGTTCCACAAGTTTTTTTTCTTAATTACAGGATCTCACATATCCTTTGATATATCAGTAAACATGATTAGGACTCAAAAAGATGTTTCTCAGTTAGATAGATAATAGGATAAATACCAGCATAAAAAATGCCATCTCACTCACATACTCCTGATGTAATGCCCTTACCACATTTCATGCATCTCTCCATTTAAGATTTCCGTATCTTCTGTCATTTACCTTTTTTGCTACCTGCATTCCTCAAGGGAACTAAATGGCATTGCCAAGTGGGCATTTCAAAGATGAGTGTGAATTAAATGATTGCATTTAGGGCTGGGAATATGGCCCAGCTATACAGCACTTGCCTAGAGTTAGAATGTGCAAGGCCTTGAATTTGATGCCTGACATAACAAACATGTGCCAGGAACAAAACCTTGCATTTATAAGTACACATTCAACAACAACAACAACAACAACAAAAAAAAAAAAACAGGATCTACATATACAAAGAAAGTACTTTTCCATTCCAAAAAAATCTTTGTCTATGGGAAAAATACTTGTCTGGTCTGTATGGCAAATGCATGACTACATGTACTGCACTGTCTTTAACATGCAGGAGAGCACCTTGCCATAATTCAGGTTTTTTTTTTTTTTAGAAATATAGTCCTATTTAGGTGGCTTAAATCAAAAGTCACAGCCTTTTACTTATTTCATGAATGGGGCAGACAACACTTCGCCTATTCATGCTACTAAGAAAAAAACCTTGCAAATATGCAAGATTTGAGGCACTTTGTAAATAGTTTTCTACTTAAGTGATAAAGACTTATTAATTAGCATTTATCTGTTTGTATGGTCCCAAGTGTGTCAACTTTTTTGTTCTGTAAGTATTAAAGAGCTGTGATCTAGCCAGTGATCTAGAAATTCAGTTTGCCATTAGTAGTCCCCGGGCCACTAGTTGGAGTCACCAGGCAACTCAAGTGCATAACCAGGCTCCCTGAACCTCAGCAGTCCTTAGAGCACATCGATGTTTTCCTTCACTTAAATTTTAGAAAGGACTAATAGAGTATGCACTTTGCATGCAGAAAGCCCTGGGTTCCATTCAAAAGGAAAAGAAAGAAAGAAAGAAAACTCTTGTTTCTACCTGTGAAATTTATCTTACTGGACATGGTGGTGCACTCCAATAATCCTACCACTCAGGAGGCTGAAGCAGGAGAATTATAGTGAGTTTCAGGCTAGCCTGGACTACCTAGTGAGTTCAAGGCCAACCTGAACAGTCTCCAAAAAAAAAAGAAAGAAAGAAAGAAAAAAGTCTGTCTTACCAGACAGAAGGATCTTGTTTTAGCAGTTTGTCTTTATTTGTATTTAACTTTGAAATTTTTAACTGCTTAATGTAAAATTTTTGATACTATCAAAAAGAACAAAGAAGAGAGGCAAACAGCCCACAATCCAGCCACTTAAACACCATCATTTTATCATTTGGAGTAGCACATAAGCAATTTTCTCTAACATTTCCATAGTCACTGGCCACTTCCAGCATTGTGTTCCTTGCATCAATTTTGCTAATTAATATTTACTACAGTATTTACAATAAGCATAAGATGCCGTGTGTTTTACTTCTTCTGAACTTGTGGTTTAAATACATTATTTTCTGTATTTTCATTTTTCTGAAAAAACAAGAAGCATTTTAAACAACCAACTTTGAGAGCACTTGTACTTGTGCTTAATTCAAATCTATTTTGTACTGATGTATAAGACTGACCTTTTAAAGTTATTTTTTTTTCTGCTTTGTTGTGTTTTTTACTAATGCCCTAAGTAAAAAATTTAGTTTACTTTTAATTTGGGGGGAAGCAAGCATTTAATACCGTAAGTTTTTCTGATTGTAACTCTGCTGAATATATCTTGATAGAAGTTTACTTTTCCTCCCTATAAAGTACATAGTAAATGGTAATACAGTGAATCATGGGGTATTTCTATTATTTAGAAACCACTATTGATGTCTTCTCTACATAGTTTGTTCATAAAGCTATGTCAAATTGCATACTCTTGTAAATAATGTATGTTATATAATTATAAAACCGAGTCATACTTAACTGAAGATTCATATGCCACAACAATCTCACCCAAAACCAACATAAATGTTAATGTTCTAGTATAGTTTTTATGGTCTTTTTTCAATAGTTATAAATATGAAACTTGTATGTTTATCAGCAGAGTTAAATGAGGAACATTCACCAGTCATAGAAAAAGAATATACAGACAAATGTGTTTCCCCCATTGATATTTTAATGTATGCTTTGTAATTTTTAATTTTAAAGTCAGTTTATTTTGTTTCCTAAAATTAGCATTTACTGCAACTCACCTAAATAACATGTGTTTCTTTTTCTATCCCTAGTTTGCATCTAGGGTCCCTTTTATTATTATTGGTAGAGCTAAATCCCCAGCCCCAATTCTTTTATCTTTCAATAAATACTTAAAATGTTTACATTTGGTTTTGAACTTTATTTATATTTAATAATTACCCTAGTATATGTTTCATTCCATTGCTCACCACTAATCCTTTCAGTTCATGACTTCCCCCATGGTTGAATTGCTTAATTTGCTTTATTTCTAAATTGGCTAGAATGTACCTTCAAGCAATTTTCTCAGGAAAAGTATGTGGATGACATATTTATGACAAATTATATAACTGAGATCATCTTTCTTCTGCTTTCACTAACGAATAAACATATTGACTGAGTAGAATTTCTGGGTCACAGATATGTTCCTCTAAAAGTTTATGCTTTGCCTCTTGGCATCTAATACAGTGTTGCAGATCTGTATTACATCTGTAGTACAGATAATGTAGATCTCCCAACTTCGAGGGATGGGGAGAGCTTCACTGCGACTGCTTTGCGAATGTTTGGTACTCTGCTTTACCTTCAACATTAATGTAAAATGTACCAGGACATGAATTATTATTGGTCTGATTCTTTCTTCGTTTGTTCTCTATTGCAGAGTAAACACTCAGTTTACACATCTACATCTGTGGTCTCCAAAATTGGCTTTGTTTTTATTGATTTCTTGTTGTAGTTAAATCATGCAGCTGCTTTTAATCTAGCCTCTCATAATTTCAGGAGTAACTGCATGCTAGCACTCTATCCTCCTCTGTGCAACCTTAAACTTTTCCAGGGTAGGGTGGGAAGGTGTTTTTGGTTTTGGTTTTTTTGAGACGGGTCTCACTAAGTAGTTTGGACTAACCTCAAACTCAGAGCAATCATGCTTTAGCCTCCCCAGTGCTGAATTAGAGG